GATAAGTTGCAGAAAAGTATGGGTAATATCTTCATTTTTTGCAGTTTGTCATGGATAATGTAGCTGCTTAAAATTAATCAATTGTCAGTATTTTAAGGGTATATTATTTAAGTGATAAATAAAGGTCCGCATGATTTTGAAAAAAGAATGATTATTAGCAAATTGGTTTCTTAAAAGAGCAAGTCGCTTACATGCAGTTACTGTATTGTGCATATAACAAAGTAAATTCAGCGTGTGTTCCATACATCGGGTTTGATATTGCTTTATAATTTCTGTGTATTCGGAAGTTTATTTATACAAACTGTCAAACACGCCACTAATTACATTGACTTTGTCATTGTAGTCACATCGCGAGTTTAATAAAATCTAGCCCTAATCTCAATGATTTATGCGACTACTTCAGAGAAAACTAAGCACATATATTTCAGTTTGAAAAAAGTAGATAATACGGATTGATTTTACGAGCTATTGAGACCTTGAGTAGTGGATTTAAGCAGGCTATCAATAACTGATCTTTTGTCTATTAATTATTATGTGTCAAGTCACGCGCACGGAGCTTTTGCAACATGATGTTCATATTGACTATTTATTTCTCTAAAATACCGATAAACAAGCAAAATAATTTAAAATAATTTATAATTTATCTGTCAAAACCAAATAACAAGAGAAAACAAGTATATAAATACTCACGTTTCGACAGTCTATCTGAGCAGACTGTGTCTAGACGTACTGCCTGTCTATAAGTGTCTGTCTACATAATCGGCTGTATATTATAGACATTATAATTTCGTGATAACAAAACACCCCATAATATTTTTACACCAGATTTGAGAGCAACATTTGCTCATACATTTGTCTAAATTTGAAGGAAATCGGAGTTTTACCGGAAAGGGAAAATTGATTTTCAAAAAATGTACCAAACTTAAAATTTTTTAACTTAAGGTTTTTCTTGTGATTTTCCCGATATTATAGTCAGTATAATTCCGCGGTAACAAAAAGCCCCCAAATAATTTTTATATCAGCTTTTAGAGCAACAGTTTCTCTTTAAATTCCCTAAATTTCAAGGAAATTGGAGTTTTCCTGGATACGGAAAATTAATTTTCAAAAAGTGTAACAATTTAGAATTTTTTGGATCGCAAAATAAGGCGATTTTTACACGCTTGCCTTGACTTTGAAACATCATTTAAAAGATTGCAAAATAGACTATCGTTGTTTATAAACATCTTATATACACGTTTAAAAACCGAGAGTGAGGTTTCCTAAAGACACGAACTGAGCAAAACGAAGTTTTCGAGAGGCTATGACTCACTATGTTTTTAGCTAATTTCACGAATCTTGGGTACATGTCAGGTTTTGATAATTTTTCGGCGTTTAAAATAATATTTCAGAAAACAAACCCCATCACGTTTCTAAGTATACATTAGTGTATCACTGGACAAAATAAGAAAACTTTTCATTTTTCATCATGTGCCACCAGTTGCTCGGTGATAGTGGAAATTCCCTCTTAACGCGTCAGCGAACGGTTGATGATGATGCAATTACGTAATCAGTAACAAAATCGTGAACAAAATCGCCTGATGATCGTCTAGAAAGGACGCGAAACTCAGAGTAGCGATATTTAATTTTAAGATATAGACAATCTATATATATATATATATATATATATATATATATATATATATATATATATATATATATATATATATATATATATATATATATATATATATATATATATATATATATATATATATGCTGTTGGGGCGACCAGTGGAATACATGATAGTTTTGGAGTTGAAGCTGGTCTAAAATTCTTTTTAAAATACTAGAATATGTACAATAAAAAGTCTAAAAAAGTTCTAAATTTTCGGTTGCTAACTGCAACCTTCATCAGAGTACTAAGAGCAGTTCGGATAGTTCAAGGTTTTAAATATCGTCATTATTGCCACATGATTGCACAAGCGATAAATACATGCGTGGGAAGTCTTTGTGTTCGTTAATTGTTTTATTGTCTAATATTGAATGCATCGAATGCATTGAATGCATCGAATGCATTGAATGCAGCTGCTTAAAAGTGCTGGTATTAAGTAAGAGTTAATTACCGAGAACGAGGTTTCTTAGCGAGATACAACCCGAGGGGTGTGTCCCGAAGAAAGCATCCCGAGGGCCGTAGGCCCGAGGGATGCTTTCTGAGGGCAACGCTCCCGAGGGATGTATCTCGCTAAGAAACCGACGTTCGAGGTAATTAACTGACTTAGTTCAAATTTGTAAGGATTTCAAAAAAATGTGATCATACTTACACCCACTACTCATTAAGGAATTCAAAGCTACATGCATGTAGGCAGAACAAGGCGATGCAGATCATGCAGTGAATGATCAAGTGCATGCACAAGGCTCTACGAATAGGTTAAGGTAAAACAAAAGAAAATTAAGGGAAGTCACGCTTTATAAATTTTCTTTTGTCTGTATACGTTAAAGCATTCTATATGATTTGTGTACTTCGTAAACACTTATAGCAGTCATATTTTGTTAATTAACTAGGGAAATGAATTAATATTCTAAATTATTGTTCGTACAGCATACTGTAAATTCATATAGAAATTTAGCTAGACATGTAGATGAACCATTTTCTTCAGTTATGTATGTATGCATGCATGCATGGAGAATGAGCGGTGGTTAAACTATGAACGACACAAACAGCGACGAAGATATCTTTATACCGCAAAAGGATGGACTGGTCATCGCGACATAAGATCGTTGCAGAAATATGAAAGACCCGATATTAAAACAAAACTGATTGAAATATCAAAATCTTTGGATTGTCGCGTTAGCAGGGGCTGCAAAGTTAACAGTGCGAGTGAAGACCCGATGCCGATGGCTGAGAAGAGAAATTCTACGAAGGAAGAGATGCAGCATAAACATATGGAAAGGAAGAGAGCACGGCTAGAAATGCCGGAGGGAAGTTCTTTTTAACTTCTATTAATTTGAACAATTTGAGTTTGAGTTTTATCGTACGAAATATATAGCTATAGCGTGTTAGGGACAGAGTGGAACAACTGGTACATGTATAGTATACGGTACATTGTCAGTGTAATTATTAACTTTTGTAATGTTTTGATTGTAGTGTGTGTAAAAGCAGTAAGTCGGTGCATTTCTGCATCGGGTTTTATCTGTATAAAACCCGGCTTTCCTAGGGTTTTATCTATATAAAGCCGGGTTTTATATAGATAAAACCCGTGAATTTATAATTATTAATTCAATTCTATTCATCAACCCCACTTTTCCCTGGAGAGATATCAAATCCCTCCCCTTGCTTTAAGAATCTTACCCAAATAAAACCCTGTTGAGAACAATAGAAATCCGCACAAATTTGAACTAATGATCAACAATGACTCTTATTGCTATAAACAACATTGTTTCACATAGCAACAGACAAGGAAACATCTGTATTTAAATTCACTACTTATTTTTTATCCAGACACAAATTGATGTAAACATTGTTTCAGGTTTGGCTTAGTTATAGCCTTACATTGGGCTATTCCATTTAATATCCATACCCCCCCCCCCCTGTCGAGGATCCCTGGAATTCTTCAGGGGTAAAGGGTTTTGAGCTTGGAATTCTTCAGGGGTAAAGTGTTTTGAGCTTGGAATTCTTCAGGGGTAAAGTGTTTCGAGTTTGGAATTCTTCTGGGGTAAAGGGTTTTCAGCTTGGAATTCTTCAGGGGTAAAGCATTTTGAGCTTGGAATTCTTCAGGGATAAAGGGTTTTGAGCTTGGAATTTTGGAATTCTTTGAACAGGGGTAAAAGGTTTTGAGCTTGGAATTCTTCAGGGGTAAAGGGTTTTGAGCTTGGAATTTTGGAATTCATCAGGGGTAAAAGGTTTTGAGTTTGAAATTCTTCAGGGGTATAACCATGAAAAACATGTATCCTCGACAAGGGGTGTACGGATATTAAATGGAATAGCCCATCATGCTGTCAAGTGGCAATCACTTACAAAGCAAATCTATAACCAAATGTTTTACAACCTGAGGAACTTCTTAAATCAATTATTCTATAATTTATACAGATGCTACAAAAACACCTGGCATCTTAAATTTATATAGATAACTCCATTTACAGAACTACAAAAGCACAAAGACCACGGGCTACAACATGTTGAGTGTTGACCATTGACCATAATGTACTGTATTGTTTAAAGCTTCAAGTTTTTAACACAAGCAAAAGCTGTCACTCCAAAGTCCTGGCAACAATATGTCAATTTAACAAAACGACAACGTGTGCGATGATTTCATTTAGCCAATTGGGCCCAATTCTTTCATGGTTATAATGAATATACTCGTACTGTAGATCGATAAAAAGTCATTCATAAATACCATGCCATTTTGTAAGTATATACCCAACGTCCCAATACTTTTTCATACGATTAATATCATATCCTTCGATTTATATCGTTTGATTTCGCATTCCAAATCTGATAAACATTGATAATTCTCTCTTCGCGTATGTCCACGCGTAATTCTCGCAAAAAAACACGCATTAATTGTGTCGGCAGCATTGATGATCACGGCAGCCAATCAAATAACGATTTCGATTCGATTTCCCCAGAGTCATGCCACAACCTAACCCGCGAACAGGCATACTCTGGGAACGAGATTGACTAATTGCGAAAATTTCGAAAAATTACCAAAGTAATTACCAAACATTTTCAATTACCAAATCTTCCTATAAAATTACCAAAACAGGGTTCGTAGCGGTCTTTGAAATCCTTGAAAGTCTTTAAATTGGAATGCAGGTCTTTGAGGTCTTTGAAAAGTCTTTAATTGTGTGAAAAAGCGAAGAAAATCTTTAAAAGTCTTTAAATTCTTTAGTGAGGAATTGATTATACGATTTCCTAGCTAATAAAATAGATTGATTGAATCAAGATTTTCGCAAATATCGACGAAAATGCGCATTTTAGGATGTGATTTGACGGGACTAATTAATTACTGGGTAAAAATGGTGCTTACACTCGCAATTTTTCGACAGCTGATTGCTCTCAAAGGTCTTTGAAAAGTCTCTGAAAAGTCTTTGAAAATAGGCAGAAAAAATCTTTGGTCTTGGAGACTACGAACCCTGCAAAAGTAACTTAAATTACCGTATCACACTGCGACTCGTATCATTCACTGCGAGGTTGAGCTCAAATTTCTGAAAGTCGTTTTGCTCCTGGCAATGTGAGACAAGATAAAATGCGTTACAGTGCGAGTCGACTTGCATGCAGTATATAAGTCTACCAAAATACCAAATCCTAAAGGACTGTGTTCATTTGAGCTGAGATGAATCATGTCACGAATTTTTTTCCTGACCATAAAAGATCGTTTGAATAAACTTTATACTGTTATTGGAATCAAACTAAGCTGATTCAACTCTGAAATGTAATTTTTGATGTTTATCAATTAGAGCTTTATTAGACGAATCATGTCATGCAGTTTACCAGATCAGCCCGGCTCCATATGAACACTCCCTAACCATTTAGCAGAATTTAAAATAACCGAAAACTGACTAAATCACAGCAAAAACTGCGACGAAAGGCTGTGAAAGGTTCTTCGACGTAAGCTTCTCAATGAAAGAAAAGAGCGCGCATTTGCTGCGAATGCCAAAAGAACACCTCATTTTGGATTTTTACATCTTCTAATTTCTGAAAAACTATAACATCTTTCAGCTAATTCGGCATGCAGATATCACCGGCAAACTTCGGCACAATCACCATAAAATATTTTATTATTTTCACAATTTCAGTGACGGATGCCCTGCTGTGGGCAGAGAGTTTTATTTTTTAAATTAATAAGCATTACTGCACGAGTATAATCTGTTCGATTATTTTAAATATAGTCTTTCGAGACATGGTCAGGAAACTCGGTTATGTTACAAAGCGGTTATGTAATGAGCTGGGAGTTTATGTTGAGCCGTACCTTACACCGTGCACATCCTTTGTTTTAGGTTTATTAATATTTAAATAGCATGGTTGAATTAATGACTGAACTGAAACGTTGCTGTTGGATGATTCGTTCATTATACTGAATTAAAACATTAATAATTCATAAATTAACCTTGTGGCAAATCATTTCAGCCGTAATATGTCATATGGAGTGACTTTATATCTGCATGATAAAACTCATCTTCATTAGTATTCTTTATATAATTGTTCATCCTAATTAGTATTCCTTTGTAATTGTATTTTAAGCTATTCAAAACTCTCGTTGTCGTGCTTTGTCAGACATAAAACGCTCGGCTGCGCCTCGCGTTTTATATCTGATAAAACACTCCTAGCTACTCGTGTTTTAAATAGTACATACAATGTGTTCATTGATCGTGCACCGTGCACAAAACTGCATAAACGCGAACAAAAAGATAGAACAAAGATTTTAGCGGAGTTTCCAAACCATGCATGTTTTGAACGGCATTATGTTTTAAATCAGTACAAAAATTGCTCTATGAGTATTCATGATTTTGTGAGTTAGTGAGTATAACTATAACTGAACACTTAAAAATCTCTTATAAAGTAACCATTTCTTCAATGACAATACGTGAGACAGAGTACCATCCAGTGTAAGCATTGCCAGGAGTAGCTCCAGAGCATGCTGCTAAAGAAATACCAACTGTGACTTGCCCTTTAGGTATGTCATTGCAGAAACCATCCAATGTCCCAGGTGAGTGACGGTTTACAGTACCAGTAGCGTATATTTGGGTGTCGATGGTTGCAGGGTCTTTGCATTCTTGGCCTGAATGAATAAGATATATTTAATTAAAGAGTTGTTACGATGAAGCAATATGCTAATGGTGCGACCATTACGTTGTCGATAATGCGATCTGTTATCGCTGGAGGTCTGATTAAGTGATAACTATAGGATGAAGGAAAACAGTGTACTAGGAGGAAAACTGAGATATTTGTAACATATATATATTTATTATATGGCTTTTCAAAATTCTCTATTCTAGTGGTTGACAAGCGGTCCGTAAAAACCCATATCCGGACCGTGGTCCGTATTTTCCGTATCTGGACCGGTGTCCCGGATGTCGTTTTTCTGGCGGGAAATTTTTGCTTTGCAAACAGAATTTTTTTTTGCTTTTTGAATTTTCCAATTGCTTTTCATCAAAATTTACAGATAAAAATTTCAAACAACCAAATTGTTTTTGATTGAGCATGCATGCCTACCGTATATTATTACCCAGTGAAACTGATGATTCGCCGATTTAATTCGCGCGCCTGCGCCAAAAGCATATATGCTCACAGATCGACTCAGTTCAGCCATATAATAAACCGATTATTGACCTCGCTTGTTCGGTCTGTACTGTGAAATATCAGACCAAATATCAGTCGCTCGGTCCATCCTAAAAAACCTCGGTCTGATATTTCACAGTATACAAAGCCTACAGACCTCACGCTCGGTCAATAAGCCGTTAATATATAACTATATTATGTGTAATAATACAGAAAACAAAAAAATTTACTAATTACTGCAGTGTCTTAAATTAAATCCCTAATTTTCTGGGGGGGGGTTCTGTTTCGGCCGTTCCGCACGTAACCAATTATCTATTGGCATTGTAAAGTCATTGTACGCAATAAAGTGTTGGATTGTAATGGGTCCCCTTATCATATCCCAACCCTAACCTCCAACCCTAAAGTTGATAACCTTTTTTTAGTAATCACAGAGATCGCATACTCAGAGACCATGTGCATTTATGGATAACGTTTGTATTTGTGAGTAATACTTGTGTTTCATTGGACATTACGAAAACATCCCCTCGCGTGTCCCATGCACCCACTCACGTATCGATCATGGCACGCTTTGCGTTTGCGGCTCACGATTGGTATTCCTTGTCTATTACACCATAGCACGTATATGTCGTCATTTTCAGATCAGTGTGAACGCCTGAGCAGGATTGTTGTTCAAATATGAATCGCACGCAATATATACTCCTCTGTTGTCGGTATATTTCTTAACTGTACTGATGATCACTGAGGCATAATGCACCTATCAATGTTTAGGGGGGGGCGGCGAAGGTGGGGGATTTGAATTTCAGACAAGTTTTTTTGTCAAACATCCCATACTACACAAGTTCTGCTGCTTCAAATGTGTCTAAATGCCCCTATATACTGGAAGGTTTTCTTATTCAAATACCCGTACCAACACTCGACGATTTTAAATTTTAATTTTTTAGTTTACATGTAACATGTTCAAAGGTATTATATAGAACTCTTTATTAATATAAACGAAAATGGTAAACAATTTGTACATGTTCAGTGTGTTCGATCATGAGCGAAAACGTCAAAACGAACGTGAATTTGTTTTATACCTTGGGTAGTTCCGCCATCTTGCAAAAAACCTCGTGCTCTCAGATTTGGTGACCAGACTTCTGCGCCAACAAGTGATCAAATGTCCCCTCATGTCCCCACAGATCACAGCATCTTGTCAAATGTCCCCAACCTCAGGCTTGTGTCAGTGAGCCAATGCCCGACCCTGGGGATGGCATTTGTTGTCAAATCCCCCACCTTCACCCCCCCCCCCCCCCCCCC